ACCTTACAGCTTGCCGTGGGAGACACACAGGGCAATGTATACTTTCTGTCCTGGGAATGAAGATGCCCTACTCAGGGGAAAGGTGATACCGTTTGTGCTGGAGATGCAAAGCCTGAAGACACTTTGCTACTGCTACTTTAATAAAATTATAAAAATAAAGTGTCAGAAAATCTCAAATACAAGCCTTCCTGTGTTCTCATGTGGATTTGGACCATGAGGGAAGTGTATAGGTGTTCTAATACATTTCTTTTCTGATTTAGCATTAATCCTTACTAGAACTGCAAGAAAGTGAACCAGATCTTTGGTAGGTACTCTTCAAAACTAGGCTTTTGAATTCTTGTGTCACTCACTGAATTCTTATGTCACTTACTTGCCCCAGGACCCTAGGATACCGATCCTGCCAGGAGGAGGAATGAGAGTGATGTTAGCCAGCACTTAGTTTGAATGGAGAGCTGAAGACCTCTCACTTGGTCAAGAAGGAATAAGAGAAGAAGTGAATCAATTGTGTATCAGTGCATTTAGAAGGAACTGGGATAGAACTAGGACACTAGGTCCTCTCATAGAAACAGCCGCCTTCTTAAAACTAACTGCCCAGGGCCAGTCCATGGCTCACTTGGGAGAGTGTGGTGCTGATAACATCAAGGCCACGGGTACGGTTCCCTATATAGGAATGACCAGTTGGCTCACTTGGGAGAGCATAGTGCTGACACCACCAAGTCAACGGTTCAGATCCCCTTACTGGTCATCTTTAAAAACAAAACAAACTATCTTCCCAGATGAGAGGTGAGAAACCTAGGGTCTGAGAGCAGAATGAGTTCTCTGGCTTTCACACCCTCTGCAAGGGCAGCAGTAGTCACCTGACTTGCAAGCATCATTTAATATAATAATTGGCTTTCTAGGAAAAGATCACAAAGTGTATTTCTCTCAAATTGAAGTTTACAAAGATTAAAGTGAGTTGAAAGGTAGAACAACCATACCCATGGACTTACCATGGACTCTGATTCTCTTAAGTAAAAGTTCTAGAACTTATTTTCCTAAAATTCTGTCCTTTGGGAGAGGAAGTTCCCTCAGGCCCTTTTATTCTAAGGGTTGAGGAAGATGTAAATATATTCCGTATCCAAGAATACAAGGACTTGCATAAAACAAGCCAGAGCTATTGTAGGGATTTTGTCCCAGATTGGTAGGGTACTCATTACACTGGTCTGGAAATGAGTTTTGAGGATTTGGGGAGTTGAAGAGTACTGTATTTTGCTCTCACTTCACCTGATTCCAGGTTTTACATGGAGAAATCACCTGAGGGACTTTCCCTTATCTCTACCCAATGTCCCATGTTCTCCCCCAGCCAGAGCATTAAAACATCAGCTAAGTCCAAATAGGTCATGCTTTTATCTTTTTTCATGTGCCTCATGCAAAGGCTCTAATACCACATGTACCTTGTGACTAGAAGTCCTAGTTAAGGTAATTTGAAATTTATGATCCATAAGATCCATAATCCTACCCAGAAATCATGCAGAGAACTATTGCTTGGCCACATCCTAAAAGTTGCCAGTTTCAATTTTTTGCCTTTTGCTCTCCTAAAAACAGGGGTCAAGGGCACTGTGGCACATAATCCTGCTGACAACGCCAATTGTAGAGCAAGGGCTGGGTCTCTGGTGCCCACAGACCCTTTGAGCCTGTTCACAAACCCTTCACATGCAGGTCTATGAGCTAGGTAACTGGCAAAAGGGTCCTTGGAACCTTGGTTTAGGAAGGAATAGCCTTTATTCAGCATACACAACACTATGAGCTAGGCAGTACAAAGAGAAACTCTAAAACTCAACTGCTACCAGCAAGGTCCAAAGAAAAACTGAAACTGAGCAGCTGCCAGCAGAGTAAACATGCTCTATTGTTAGACATGAGCTCTCTGCTGCCAGCCTGCTTCACAAACTGCAGAACAAAAAAGCAATTAACTAGAAAGATACATGGGTGCACATGCACACTAACTCCACCCACACAACTCCTTTACAAGAAATGTGCTGCTCATCCCCCAGCCAGACCTGAGCAGAGGGAGCCTGACTGAATTATTCTATTTTCCCCACAGGCAGAAGGAAGCTCTAGTTGTTTATCTTCCATGCTCTGAAAATTCTACAAAAATACTCTGGCTAAGGC